ATATATATAATCAAATCATCACAGGGAACTCTGGTGGTCTAATGGCAAAAAGCTGCACAGCAATCCCAAAGGCACGCAGTTCAAATCCACCAGATGCTCTGCTGGAGGAGGGGCAATCTCCTCCTGTACCAGTCTGATCTGATTTGACCGTACACACACACACATGCAGACACAATCACATGAAAAATGCAAAGATAAAACTACATTTACTATCTACAAAATCACCAGGCAGGCACAATGAAACTGCGTGTGGATAGCTGTGCCTAAATTGTCTCACATAATTAATTTCTAAAGCTAAGCTTCATAGTATATGCAATTTAAAATTGTTATTTTCTCAAAAGTTATATGTAATATGGTACGTAAGTGGTTTTAATATTATTTTTGGTCTTTATCATCTATATATTACAAAAAAAGGTATCAAGGTTCTTGACCCATGGGGGAAAATTGCATTTAATTTGGCACTGAAAATAAAAACATTTCATTCTCCCCGAGAAAAAGGATAATATTTTCTAATTTAGCAAACACTTTATGAAAGGATCATTTGATTCTTTATTTTGACAGCTGCTTTTACACTTATTATTGGAGAAACCCTTCCTATGCTCTTTTTTCCCTTTTCCTTTTATTTTCTAGTCAAGGGATGTTGTTAATATTATTTTGGACTTAGACAAATTTTAAAGGAGTGATAAAGAGTCTGCCCTAAGGGTTTATCAATAAACTTCTTACCACTCTGAAGAAACAAAGAATTTGGAGGTGGGGAAAGGTTTTGCAAACTGACTCCATCAAGGTCTGAATTCCTGATTTAGGCATTTGAACTAGCAGCTCAGTAACTCTAAAACCATCTACTACATACTCAGAAAATAGAGTATCTGCTGGATGAACTAGGCAGCTCAGTAACTCTAAAATCATCTACTACATACTCGGAAAATATAGTATCTGCTGGATGAACTAGGCTTGAGGAAAAGGCAGGGGATTACTGTTCTCCTGATACTGATGCTGAAAGAATTTGGGAGGATTTTGTACCATGCTTTGCACTTTACCAAGGGCTCTCACCTAAGTTACCTCGTGTAAAGTTTGGTCCCCGCCACTAGTGTATGTAAATTAGAATAATGTAACATTTTCAATTAAAAAAGAGGAAAGTTATTAGTTACCCTATATACAGCAAGCCAGTATCTGCCTGTTGGAAATGTGAAACCTAATAATTAAAAAAATTAAAGAATGTTCTTGGACTATGACAGAAAGCTCATTCTTCTAAGGACAAGAAAGTTAATTAGAAGAGCTGTTGGCAATCACTGGGTCAAAAAAGTCTTCTAATACAGAGAAAAGAAACTTTTATATGCTATGAGTGGTAGTGTAAATTGGTACCATCTTAATGGAGAAGAATTTATCTACCAAAATGAAATCCAGTATCTTACTGACATAGTAATTTATGTTTATTAAGGTATTCACATTATAGTCATATTTGCACATATATGAAGAAAAAGGCTTAATAAGTATGTTTATTGTGACATTGTTAGTAGAAGAAAACAGAAAATTACCTAAGTGTTCCGTCAACAGAGTGCTAGTTACACGAATTATGGGTTGTCTGCATGGTGGTAGATACTAAAATTTGGAAAACAACAATCTTGTAGTGTTTTACGAGCTAGGCTGCTGGCCTAAAAGTGGGCAGTTCAAATCTCCCAGCTGCTCTGTGGAAGAAAGATGAAAGAGTCTGCTGCCATTGAGATTTACTGCCTTGGAAACTGGGAAGACTGTCACCATAAGTTGGAATTAACTCAACAGATTTTATTTGTTGAGCTGAAAAGCCAAAAGCAAGCAGGAATTTCTTAAAGTAAAAATAGTCAAGGGCTTATAATGATGGGCTCTGGAGGGTAAATGAGACTCAATTCCTTGCCCCCCCCCTTAACGTTAGTTCTGATGAGGCCCATTGAGCAAGGAATTGTATTGCTAACCCAAAGGCAGGCAGTTCAAACCAACCAGCTGCTCTGAGGGAGAAAAGACAGGCAATCTCCTCACATGTGAAAACCTGCTGGAGGGTCGGCTATGAGTTGGGTCCAACATCACAGCGACACTTCTGACGGATTTGTTGTTGTTTGTTGTGTCGACTGCCTTCAAGCTGAGCACGACTCATAGCGACCCTATGAACAAATTTAATTTCTGAGATGAAAACATTTTTAAAATAGTAAGGGGAGAAAAAAAAAAGGAAAAGTAGATGAAGGAAGACCACATTGCGCACCTAAAAAACAATTTTTTTAAAAAAACACCAAGCCTAAAAAGCAAGTAAACAAACAAACAAACAAACAAACAAAAACCAAAAAATAACCCAAAACCCATAAGCAGAGCTCAGGGGGGAAAAAATTATCCATTACTGTACTCGAAGGAGCCCTGGTAGGACAGTGGTTAAAATACTTGGCTCTTAACGAAAAGATCAATGGTTCTAGGCCACTGCTAGTACCCTCACTCTGGGTGAAAGCTGTAGCAGCAGGTTCCATCAAGGGCACAGTGTTGGAAATCCTGTGGTTTGCAAGTTCTCCTCTCTCCTATGGGGTCACGATGGGTTGAAATGTACACAATAGCAATTGATTTTGGTTTGGTTTCTTGTTCTACTTGGTCAGTTAGTGGCTGGCACCGTGCTAAGCACAGAAGGGGCTCAGTAAATGCTTCCTGAAGGAATGTATCAGTAAAAAAAAAATTAAAAAATGTGTATTTTCTAACTAAAACTGAGTCACTTAATAGAAGTTAATGGTGAACATCGACAGGGTTCTATATTAAAGAAAGACTGGTTACGTTGGCACCAACTCAACAAAACCCTAAACAACATGTCTCCAGAAACTCTATGAACTTTGATAAATGATAATAGTTATAGAAAGGCTTCAGTGTCCTAGGGCCACTATGAGTTGTGCTCGACTTGAAGGCAATCAACATCAAAAACAACAACAACAACAACATTTGTAATGGAAAGGGATCCTTGATGAGTTCACTAGGTGTTTCTTTGAGCCTTTCTGAGGGCATTTACCTGCTAGGCAAGAAGTTATAAAGTCATAAAGAGCTGCTGAAAGAAGCCTGTTGAAATAACATCACTGAACCATATCCTACCTGTTGAGTGCTAAGGGTGGAGAGGCCTTCTGTGCCTTGGAACACCCACCAGAAGGTCATCTATGGGTCGGGTCCGACTTGATGGTACACAGCAACAGTAACAACAGCGGCGAGGTTATAAAGGGGACATGTTTGATGGAAAAGGTGCCTTTCCAACCTCTGTGCCCACTGAGGTGCACGCAGCTGTGCAGGCAGCTGCATCAACAGAACCCTGCTGGCCTGGGGGGTTAAGACTTGCCCTCGCTCTGTAGAGACAGCAGGGTGTGGTGGAAAGGGGTCTGGACTGGAATCAGGAGACCTACATGTGAGCCCCAGGCCTGGGCAGCTTGCTTCATCTCTCTGACTTGCTGTTATCCTAACTGAAACACAAGAATAAAATTAGCCACTGGATCTGCCTCACAGAGATGCTGTGTCATTTAATTCAACAACGTCTGAAAAGCATGTGGTTAGAAAATACCATAAAGATGAACACTGTCTTAAGCAGCCTGTCAGATAGTTGATAGATGTGATCCTTAAAAAGCTTGCAAAACGTATTAACCTTCTTATGATAAGAAATATAAAAGGTTAGTCAAGTAAAACCAAGTGTCTCACTATGTTCACATAACTTTTCACTATCATAATTATAAACATAATTATATATGATAAAACATATACGTTTACTCGCCTGCTAAAAATTCAGCTTCATATCTGAAGTTCTGTAAGAAAATACATATACAATTGAAACGTATAATTAGATGACGCAATTACGTCTACTATAAAATCTAATCATACGTGATTTCAGAAAGTATGACTGGATTGCACTCAATGAACTAATCTAGTAGCAACTGATATTGTAAATACATAAAGTTATATCAAAGAGTTTTATAAAAATAGCTTAAGATGAGAGTCTCTGCTTCATAGCTTCAAAAGTAGTGTGTGCTTTCCTCCTATTTTAGACGTGGCATCTCGTCCAGTTGGGTGTTGGATGTGTCTGCTCAGGTCATCTACATGGCTGGAGGTGTCAGAAGATCACAGTTTCCTACAGAGAGTCAGCAGCTCTTCTGGTCAGGAAGGCCTCTGGAACAATCTTCTTCATTCTCCTCTGAGCAAGATAGGGTCAGCGCACTTGTCACAGGATGGATCCAGGATGTGGTCTGTGTTACGTGACTTGAGAAAAAACAAGAAGCAACATTAGAATCTGCAAGGGTGTCCATCTCCCCATCCAAACAAGTACTAATCCTATCGAGACTGCTTCCATCCTTGTAATGAGAAAGCTGCTGGAACTGGACCCAATAGAGTTTTAAAACTGGACTAAGTGAAGGAAAGGTCAATCTGCTATGACTGGACAAGCAGATAAACATATACAATTAACAATCTGCAACAGGTTATAATTATGGGTTGAATGGGGGAGGTAGGAGGGAAATGCGTATGAATGAGTGAACAATCAGTTTCTCTGTAAGCTTTCATTCAAGTCACAATGGGGAAAAAAAACCCAACCCAAACAAACAACTCCTCAGACATGTTTTAAAGTTTAACGAAAACCGTATCTTTCTTTTTTGGTACCAAAGGCTTTATTTTTGACCCTTCACTCTTCCTTACCTGATGTACAGTCAGTCAGCAAGTCCTGGGACTGACTTGCAGTAACTTCTGTGGGGTCTGTAACCTCCTCTACGTTTCCAGTACTATACGATGGTGACTAAAAATAGCTTGTCTCTCTGCCTCTGTTCTAGCTCTTTTCATATTCATTCTCCACCCCAGCCAAGATGTATTTCTAAAGGATAAAACATATACTCTTACTTGCCTGCTAAAAATTCAGTGCCAACCAATGCATGCCTTCTAAAGCAAGCATAATTTATTGTAGGTGATACCTTGATATTTTTTCCCTACTGCAACAATACTTTGTCCTTTGCTACAGTATTCTTCTCCTCCAACAACAAGATCTGAGTTGTATTAATATTTCTAAAGAAACAGATCTTCAAGATCTCTCTAGTCTGTGCCAAAGTCTTACCTTACTTGATGAGTTCCTTGGATGAAATATGCTTATCTACAAATTTATGTGCTTACCATGTTCTTAGATTACTAGGATTCTGATTGGTCATGCAACATTAACATAAAAGGGAGCTCTGGTGGCCTAGTGGAAGGAAGCTGTGCTGCAATCCCAAAGGCACACAGTTTGAATCCACCAGCTGCTCTGTGGGAGAAGGATGGGTAATCTCTTGCTGTGTGATTTACTGCCTCTGAAAACCTGCTGAAGGGTCAACTATGGGTTGGTTCTGACTCAAGGGTATATAACAACAATCACTATATACCAACTAGTCTAGATATTAAAAAGAAATGATATATAGTCCGTTTTCATTGAGGAAAGAAGCCTAAATTATAACCTTATGAACCATGTATCATTACGGATCCTGGGATATGCAATGCATAATGTGTCAGACTGCTAGCCAAAATGTTGGCAGTTCAAACCCACCAGCTGCTCTGTAGGAGAAAGATGGGAAGTCTCCTCCTTTAAAGATTTAGAGCCTTGGGAACTTTTTGGAGGGTTGTCATGAGCCAAATTTTACTCGATGAGTTTTTGGAGGGTGTAGCTGTGGTGGAGAGGGGGTTGGCAAGTAAAGCTTGGAAGTGGTTCTTTCTCTTGCTCCCTGTTGGGAATTTGCATTTTCATGCCAGATATATCGAATCAGAATCCAGGGTTGGGCAAGGTCCTAGAGGATCCTTATGAAAATGTTGTTATGTGTCAGTGTCAGAACCAACTCATAGCTGATCCTTCAGCAAGTTTTTAGAGGCTGTAAATCATATGAGAGGAGACTGACCACCTTTCTCCCTCAAGAGCAACTGGTGGATTCAAACTGCCTGCCTCTGGGTTGCAGCGCAACTACTTATCACTAGGCCACCAGAGTTGAAGGACAAATTTAGAATGTGGATTTGGATTCAGCAAGAGGCAGCAACAGAAGGAGTAGTTCAAAGCCCTGGTTAGTGAGTTTAAAATGTAACTTTGTCTAAGAAGAAAAGGGTGGATGATACTCGATGCATGCCTTGCAGCACACAAAGAGCAACAGGATAAAGGAGGGAAAAGGTATTTCTGGTTAGAACAAAGCAGAGGGAAGAGAAGATATTCCAGAGATACTGGGTGTGTTAAAGGAAAGACAAGTATTTTCAGTTGGCTGACGTACAGGCTGCAAGTAGGGAAATGCTAGGAAGAAAACCTGGGGGAATAAGAAGAAATAACTCTTAGAAGTCCTTGTGTTTTATTTATAAAGTGACTGGAATTGTCTTCCAGGGATTAGGAGATTACAGGAGACATGACTCAGAAATTTAATAGTATATCAATGAGTATGAGTGGATAGTTTGATGGTATTCTTCAGGATAAATGGCTATTCTATTTACTATGTTACAATTTCTTACAAAATTTTTTTCTACTTTGAAATGAAAAAGCAGGGACTACTATTCCTGAGAGCAAATGGAATATTTATTCAGTGATAAAAATTCAAGCTTATAAAAATCATTATTATTAGGTATCAAAGTTGACCTTACTTTTTAAAAAAAAAACCCCAATGTTAATAAAATATTATACAACAATCTCATATAGAAGGCATATAAAAAATTCACAAAGAACCTAGGAGATATGTAACGGCAAGTATTACTCTTGTTTTACCTATGAAGGACCTGAGGTTCACAATTAAATTACAGCTGCTTAACAGTGGTATCCACTTCCTAAATAACATGCCTCCAGAAACCCTGTGAACTTTGATAGATGTTGATAGTTGTAGAGAGTCTTCAGGCCTTTTGTTCATAGGGTTGCTATGAGTCGTGCTTGACTCAAAGGCCTTCAACAACTAAAACAATGATTAAGTACTACAGGAACCCTCTAGCCATAACTCCCTATCTAGTTCTTAATATTATTTCTGCATTAAAAACACACAAATTATGAGACAAGGAAGGACATCATTCTTGACCCGAGACTTTCTGAATTTCAGTGAAGAACGTATAGTCTCACAGTGGTGAGAAATGTTTCTAAAAGAGTAAATCATAAAGAAAGCTGTTATGGAAGAGGCCTTTTTCTGCATGGCAGTCAGACAGGCCGTGGATACCCTTTTGTGATCTTGCTAATTTGCTGGGTGGAATATCTCATTCTACACCTTTACTGTCTGATGGCTTGGAACAGCAGGGCATCAGTGAACAAGATGTAGACCTTTAACAAGGTGAGCTGACACAGTGACTGCAACAGTGGGACCGAGCAGGGCCGAGAGGGGGCCGATGGTGCAGGATGGGGACAGGTTTCAGTGCGTTGTTCATCGGGTCACTGTAAGCTGTGGTGGATTTGACATTGCCTAGCAACTATTGGGCTTTATCTATTTGGTTTTTGCATATATTCTTCATTATCTCAATGTGTTTGTTCTGTTTTGACTATAGCCAGAAATCAGATTGCATCTGTTGTATGTAAAATGAGGGATAAAGAAAGTCAAGGAAGGAGAGAAATAAGGTGAGGGTAAGAAGGTTCTTTGTCTTGAGCCTAAAGTTAACAGCAAACCCACAACAACAGAAAAGGACTGAGATCGAGTCAGAGGTGGAGAGATGGGGCTGGTGAGGTGCCAGGGAAGGAGAGGCAGATCAATCTTAACGAATCCAGGTGGAGACTGCGTAGCATGACTGGAAGCCTTGTACACCTCATAGTTGTGGTGGCTGGGAGGCAGTCACAGACTAGGGTGAGGCCAAAGCAAGGGGGGGGGGTGCATCAATGGGGAGAACAGAGAATTAAAGGAATCTACACATGAATTTTTCCAGTTGGATAAGGCTAATTTTTGGGAGAGGGCCATTTATCTAAAAATTACTACTATCTCAGCATCCAGGGAGGCACTCTTGTTGATATTATGTACTGTTAGGCTGGAAGTGACTCACAGCTGACATTCCAGGGGGCTTAGGGAAGATCCTGCCCATCTTTCTCCCATGGAGCAATTAGTGGATTTGAACCACATGCCTTTGGGTTGCTAGGGCAATTCCTTATCAGTAGGCACTTGTTTTTGTTGTTGTGTACCTTTGAATTGGACGCAACCTGTAGCTGACGGCCCAGCGGGTTTTCAGAGGCAATAAATTGAATGGGAGATTGCCCGTCTTTTTTTTTTGGAGCAGCTGATGGATCTGAACTGTGTACCTTTGCGTTGGTGGTGCAAGTCCTTACTGTCAAGCCACCAGAGCTCCCTCTGAAGGCTCTAGTAAGAACAGGCTAGGAAGGCACAGAACAGAGTAAGATCCTGCACTTATTATCATTGAAGTTCCATAGATCACCAAGGAGAGGATCATGCAAACGGCCACCAATAAAACAGAGCAATCAGCAGCCATGTTAATGGGCATATGAAGTGCCTGAGGGGCTTGTGGAACGTACACTCTGTCCACCTGGGGACTTGGTTTCTCTGAGGCAGTGACGGCCCTGGAGGATGAGCAGGGCTCTTCAGAGGGCAGGGCACTCTGGCTTGAGGGAGTGGTACATGCAATGTCATTGACAAGCATGACACTTAGAGACTGTGAGCAGTATCTTAGAATTAGAGGGTCAGGCTTTTGTATTAATTTAGGAGTGCAGGGGAGGGTGGAAATAGGAAATGGAATGGGTCCATAATAGCAGGGAGCCAGCAATTTTGGGGCTTGAATGCATAAGAGAAGGAGTCTGGGTCTTTCTTTATAGGACGTGAAGGAGGTTTTAGTTGAAACGTCTTGCTCTTTCGTAACGAGTTTCTTTCATGCTATGTTGCACATACTGGGAAGTGTACTGGCTGTTAGAGAGCTAAAGAGAATGAAGATAGAGCCGCGTTCCTGATGCTGCAGTAGAGAGAATGGCCCCTCTGTCCCATCTCCAGTCTTAAGCACATTTTGGCACATGGTGAGACCTCAATAAACCAGCTACGGTTTTCTGACAGCAGAAGTGATTGGCACTATAGGCAAAGAGCCTCTGATTCAATCTGTGGTCTAATAAAGTCCTCTGGTATTATTAAAGAATGTTCTAAAGCATGCTTTTCCAACAGTGCTATAGAGAGCTGACTCTGTGGGGAGCAAAGGTAGACTGGGCACAGATGACTTTGGCTTTCCCATTCCTGCTTCAGTCAGGGCTGAGCACTATATAAGGTTCTCTTTGGAAAAAAGAAAAATAAAAGGGGAAAGGGTTCTAAAAT